CGCTTTTTTCCGGCAAAGCCCCGAGCTGGAAAAAAGCGGCAGCCATGTTTATGCAAATGAAGAGGGTAAGATTTAAATCCCCGCTTCATTTACAATTGCGCTGTGTCTAATTTGCATCCCTTTTACAGAAAAGGGGTGCAGTCTAGACACAGCCGAGGTGTTTGTCTCCTCTTGACAAAGCCCTGGCTGGGCTGATTGAGTTGGGTTGGTCCTGCCTGGGGCAGGGGGCTGGACTCGATGCCTCCTGAGGTCTCTTCCAGCCTGTGGTTCTATGATTCAGCCTCATTCACAGTCTGGCTGGCCAATGAGGGAGTGGGGGGTTGGAGAATAGCCGAGTCCCCGCAGCGACTGGGCTTGCCTGGGCCAGACTGAGTGGGGCAGAGCTAAGGAGACAGCAGGGGCCTGGGCTGAGCTGGGCCACGGCCCCATGGCAGGGACAGGCAGACGTGACTCAGCCACAGGGCTCTGCTGGCAGTGGGGCTGCAGCCAGAGGGGCCAGAGAAGCAGCCCGGGATCTGGAGGCGGCGCAACAGAGAGTGGAGCTGGGGCGGGGGCTGGGTGCAGGGAGCAGCAGTGCAGGCCTGGCAGGCCAGACTTGGAGGGGATCATAACCCCAATGGGGGGTGGGCTGCCGACCCTGGAGGGAAGGGCCCTGCCGCCCAGAGCAAGTGTCCCAGCAGGCCGGAGAAGGGCCTAGGCAGCCAGAGTCTGAGGGGGAGGCCTGGGACCTCCCAGGAGCAGACTGTGACCTGCCCTGACGCCCCAGACATGCTGCTTGTGAGGCTGCGTCTGCACTACAGGCTTCTTGCACAAGGGAGCGTCCGCAGTGCAAAAGTGCATTGGGAACACGATGCGCTTTTGCACAAGAGAACGTCCAGACTGCATGGCCGCTCTCTCCCAAGGAAGCTCTGGTTGCCAGTCACAGAATGGCCACCAGGGCCCCCGTGTCTCTTCCCACAGGCTGTACAGCTCTTGTGCAAAAAGGGGTTCTTCCTCGCAGAAAGAGGAATACCTACACCGCAAAACCCTCTGTTCTTTCGATCCACTCTACATTTTCTTCTGCAAAAACATGCTGGAGGTGTGAACGCACTGAGAGTTTTTGCACAAACACTCTGCAGTGTAGACACAGCCTGAATCTCCAGGCCACAGAGCGGCTGGCGTCTTGCCAGCGAGTTTCCCCATGTTTGCTTATTCTCTTTTTACACAGTTGAGTGTTGAATACATGGCATTGGCTTTGAGCCGGGTGTAGCTCTCAGGGAGCCAGAGAAGCATCAGTGTGAAGAGCCCCTCCCCTCTCCGCCCCCAGCATCCGGATGTAAGAGCGGAGCTGTTTAAACGGATACTGGATACACATGAGATTATCAGTGACATGCGGCTGCCAGGGAGCCAGCTGCCGCCCCCGAGGAACCAGGTGACCACTGGAATTTTCCGCAGTTCCAGGATTCCCCAGTTACATAAGAACGGCCAGACTGGGTCAGACCAAAGGTCCATCTAGCCCAGTATCCTGTCTGCCGATAGTGGACAATGCCAGGTGCCCCAGAGAGGGTGGACCGAAGACAATGATCAAGCGATTTGTCTCCTGCCATCCTTCTCCAGCCTCTGACAAACAGAGGCCAGAGGCTACATTCCTACCCCCTGGCTAGTAACCTTTTATGGACCTAACCTCCATGAATTTATCTAGTTCTTTTTAAAACTCTGTTATAGTCCTAATCTTCACAGCCTCCTCTGCCAAGGAGTTCCACAGGTTGACTGCGCACTGTTTGAAGAACTTTAATTAGTTTTAAACTTGCTACCCATTAATTTCATTGGGCGTCCTCTAATTCTTATATTATGGGAACAAGTAAAACACTTTTCTTTATTCATCCTCTCCATACCACTGATGATTTTATAGACCTCTATCATATCCCCCCTCAGTCTCCTCTTTTCTAAACTGAGAAGTCCCAGTCTCTTTAGCCTCTTCTTATATGGGACCCGTTCCAAACCCCAAATCATTTCAGTTGCTCTTTTCTGAACCTTTTCTAATGCCAAAGTATCTTTTTTGAGGTGAGGAGACCACATCTGTACGCAGAATTCAAGATGTGGGTGTACCATAGTTGTATATAGGGGCAGTAAGATATTCTTCATCTTATTTTCTATCCCTTTTTAATAATTCCTAGCATCCTATTTGCTTTTTTGACTGCCATTGTACACTGCATGATGTTTTCAGAGAACTAGCCACGATACTGCCAAGATCTCTTTCCTGATTAGCTGTATCTAAATTAGCCCCCATCGTATAATTGGGGTTATTTTTCCCGATGTGCATTACTTTACACTTATCCACATTAAACTTCATTTGCCATTTTGTTGCCCAATCACTCAGTTCAGTGAGATCTTTTTGCGCCAAGATCTCTTTCTTGATTAGTTGTACCCGATGTGCATTACTTTACACTTATCCACATTAAACTTCATTTGCCATTTTGTTGCCCAATCACTCAGTTCAGTGAGATCTTTTTGAAGTTCTTCACTGTCTGCTTTGGTCTTGACTGTCCAGTGGAACATCCCTGCCCCGCAGTGGGAACACCGGGCCCTGCCCCGGTGACACACCAAGGTTGGTGACGAGCCCCAGGAGCCCCAGGCCCAGCCTTGTTGGGGTTCCCGGGGCTCTGCCACGCAGGGGAGCAGCAGGGGACCCCTTGAGGGCACAGAGGCCTCCGGGTACAGGCAGTAGGAGTAGGGACTCTCAGCCTTTCGCTGGCCCATTTCACCAGGGCAGTGGAGGATCTAAAAAAGTTCCAGTCAGTAGTGGGACGAGTCCCTGCTCACGCTCCCCGGGCCCCTGGCTGCGAACTCGGCCGGGCAGGG